AACCCCAGTGTTTAGTATTAACTAGTATTTAGTTGGCTGTTTCCACATGCATCCCTTACTGTCTATTCACCAATATGGAGCGTCATGGTGACCAAGGTGGGGAAAAAAGTTAGCTTGGGTGGCATGTTGAGACTAGTATTTAGTAAACCCTAGACTGATGAGTCAGCTGTGGGATTAAGATGAAAGCCATTTTGAAAGTTCAAAATGGTCTTGCTTCTTTGTTAGTAAGATGTCATCTTCATATATAACTAAACAAAGTGTTAATGAGATGGTATCCTTCAAATTAGCTTAAGCAATGAGGTGGAAAGAAGTCTCAAGAAGAAGCCAACACCCAGTTTTCTGAGTATATAATCTCTGCAGCAAAGAATTTAATCTTCAAACCCAGCATGTTGCGTCTTTATGACCAACTTCAATCAAGGTCTTAGCAATATGTCCCACAGCTACTGCCGTTCACTCAGGGGCTTCTATAATGTCCCACCACTGTCTGCCATCGTACATGGCACTGACCCTATAATTTTTGAAGATGGATTTTGTTTACCCAGCTGCTGCCATGGCAGAACCTGGCTCCTGGACAACTTTCAAGAAGCCTGCAGTGAAACCACCAGTTACCAACTGAAGAAGTGTAAGCAGAACTTGTGCACAGAGGACAGCTGTGTGCAAAGCGCCTGCCTCCCCAGAGTTGTGCAGATAACGAGTACTAATTCCAGGCCCTGTGAAAGGACAACATGCCAAGCAGGAGCCGCTTCAGCAGCGTCAGAGTGGGTTCCCCAGTCTTGCCAGTCAGAAAGCAGCCAGCAAATGGGCTGCGTAGTTTGGAGGTGCCAGCCTGCGAGCTACATGGCAAGGAGTTGCCCAACCAAGACTTATGTGTCTAAGAATCGCCAAACTCTGGAATGTGAATTCAGGCAAAGCCAGTTTCAGGAACCTGAATCTAGCTCCTATAGACCTTTGGTCTATGTCTCACCTGAGCCACAACTCCTGGAATCTTCTAGCACTTATGAACCAACTTGCTGTGTTACGGGTGGTTTGCAATTACCTAGTAAGTGAAGAAAGTGTAAAGGAAATGGCATACTGTAATTTGGGTGAATTGATTTCCAATAGTTTCAGGAACCTTTATTTCTCTAAATATGAATCATTCTGCATGTGTGTGTGTGGTGTGTGTGTATG